GTTTTCTTGTAAAAATGATTAAGCTGCTAATTAAGCTGTTTATAACTTGTTTCCCTGGTTGCTAATGATAATTAACATGCAAATTAGCTAAGGGAAGAGAGGCACAGGGGTCCTCAGTTCATTACCAAGTTAATTACTGTTTGCATACTTAAACATAACAGTTATAAATGGTGGCATTTAATGTAATGGCCAAGATGATAATTATACCAACGACATTTTGAAAAGTCATTTCACTGTGTGCTATTTTTCTGGGTGATTAATGTTTCCATGGCTGGTTGATAAACTTAGTTCAAACACATACGAGTTGGAAACTTAGTGTAACCAAGGAAGTTATCCCTTAACAATGTTTTATCCCTGTTTGTTTGTAAAGTAGGGAAGTTAAATGCAAGGAAATAAAAGCAGAAAGTTTCAATATTAGCCGAGGAGGAATAAAGTGGGCTGGTTAACACTTTTAGTTTAATTTGGGTTGGCAGCACATCTACTGAGATTTTTTAACAGCTTCCTTTTTTATATCTCACTATTTGTTGTTCTTTGTGTTACAGCAGTGCTGGGAGATTCTTTCTGAGATCCAGCCCATCATACACATCATATTATCCTTGGCCTCAAAAGCTGATATCCTAAATAAAGATGGCAAACATATCACAGAAGATTCACCTTACTACCTCAGAGAGAGAGCTGCTTCAGGACTCAGAACACAAGAAATTATTAAATTATGCAATTGCACTGCTGACTCCCACAGTTAAACCATAAACAATAACTGAGACAGCAAAGCATGTGTGTGGCAACCTTTGGGGGGTTTCTGCTGTTGCTGCTTTAATCTACAGAATATAAACAAAGGGATTATTTCTTTCTCTAATGGAGTGACAGCCTTTTTCTTGTAATCTTGCTCAAGTGTATCTTAATCCTGCTCTTTAATAAGGAGCCCTGCAATCCTTCACATCATTCTCAATGGGGTGAGCATAGATGCAGTAGTCCAATTGCATAAAGAGCTCATTTAAGCTCTCTGTGACCATATACATTCCTGCACTCAGAGACCACTAGGATGTTTAATGTATTAACACATTTATAATTAAAGCCTGCAAAGCCAAGTGAAAAGTTAAGATACTCACTTCCTCAAGGCCTTACCAAGAAGCTTGAGCAAAGGGGTAAATTTTGTAGATTCAACCAGATCCAGATTAATTGCATCAGAGTATAAAATTACAAGGCTAACACTTCTGACCTGTGCCACCTTTCCCCCACATGTTTCAGAGCTGTTCACAAACACTGATTTCATCACCTTATCATGTTCCTAGGATGTGTTATACTGGTGCAGAAAGGTTTGACCAAACAACAGTCTATCATATCAGATAGAGAACAGCATGTAAAAGCCTGGCTGAGAACTTGAACATCCTGAAAAGGAACGCTCAGTGTAGGCTTTCCCACCCGACAGTGTTAGGAAGTAGACCTGTCAATAATAAAGCTTAGAGGTCCCCATTTTGAAATTTGCTGTTCTAGCCTGAAGGAACAGCAGCAGCTGTGGTCCTGGGGATACAGTATGCAAATTTCCTTCATGAGAGAAGAATAACTTAACTCAGTTTGACAACAGAGCTATGAGCAGCCTAACTCCCCTGGCAGACTGTGGGTGCGGAACTAAATACACCTAGGGATGAAATTTCATCGTGTGGCTTAGTACATCACCAGAGCTTCTTGACTTCAGAGCTGTGGGCATTCAGTCACCCAGCATGCTTTGTTCCCTGCATGTTTACACCAGCCTAAACGAGAGCAGAATTTGGTCTCTGCTTTCCAACCCAGCTACAGCTGAGAGCAAAGAATCTTAAAAAATATATTTGATTCACGTGACTACTAACACTTCACTCCATTACACTCCTTTCTATCAAATAAAGTTAATTCTCCTCTTTTTTAAGCCACAAGTTCTGTACCAAATCCATGTATTACTGGTTTCTCATCCTCAGTCCTACCACCATCTAGCATTTAAATCCCTGAGGGAACAGACTTGTTATATGCACCGAGAGCCTTTAAAAGAAGTAAGTGCAAGATTTCTCAGCCACATCTCTTTGAAAAAGATTATTACAGACACGTGTTAGTACATCTCCTGCTTTGCCAACCCCTCCACTTGCTGTGCTGTGTTTACTTCCTCCCCACCCAACTTCCTTTAAAAATTAATCAATAGAGACATCATGAGGAGCTACTGTAGCGTGCTTAATATTTAATGAGTGTGTAGCATACTTAATATTTAATGTTTAAATAAACATCTCCACACTCCCCCCTGCATATGATCTTAGAAATGGGGCTTGCCATATCTGCCTCATAGGACACACAGCAAATTACCTGGTGGCTTGAGAAAAGTGTTAGGAACCAGGGCCTCCAAGTTATACTGCTGGCTCTGCCACTTAAAACAATGGGTTTTCACAGTGGGCTCTATTCCAGCACTTCAGGTGTCATACCAGGCCACTGTTCTTTCCACCAGAAAGATACTCTTTTCCCATCAGCACTGAGCTCTTCTAGATGCTGTTCCTCTTCTAAGGACTGAAGTTAGGTACCTAAATTAATCTCAGCTGAAGTTTGATGCACAACTTAAAATTGGTTGTATTCATACCACCTCCCTAAGTCAACAAAATTATTTATTCATGTTGCTGCTACCTTGCTAGCTAACCTTGTTCTTACAGGCTGTAACAACACCCCTCAAACCATCCACGTAGAGAGCACATCAGATTCTTTACTAAACTGGAACTCTTCATGCTAAAAATGATGCATGGACAATACAGGAATCCTCCATGTTCTTTGAATCTACAAGGCAAAACGTGGCTGGAAGCAACTTCCACACCACTCAGTCATGTAGCAAAGTCAATGTATGGGTAATGATTTTTGCAGGCTGGACCACAATCCATTGAAGGCACCAGTCTGGGTTGTATTCCCACAAGCTGTGCTGGAACCTCAGTGGAGGGGCTGAGACACACGTGTTTGATCAACCCAGCTCCTTCCAATGTAATTTCTATTTCAGAACTGTTTCTTTTTATGCCCCCAGGCCTTTCTTGGTAATATCACCTGTGGCCTAATGTGACAGCAATGCTAAATTATATCTTGGTGGCTAATTAGGGTAATTAAAGTGAAAGTAATCAAATCAAAGCAATGAGCAGACTCTTAATAAAATGGCAAAAAAAACCCCTATTAATCATAGAGGGGTTTTTTAAACTCCTGAAAGTCAAAGAACATTGATGAGGAAAAGGCTGGAGTTCAGAAATGGCCTTGGCTTAAAGGAACATCATCAGCCCAAACACTTCTAGAAACATAATTACTTACCTGCTAAAAATATTTCCAATGATCAAAACAAATAAGGTTAGAAACACAGGCTGCACCTGCAGCGAAGAGCTGCCTGCTTTGGGCAACCAGTTCACCCTACCTGGTGCCACCAGGTCCAGGAGCCAGGCTCACATTTCCTCACAGAAACGCTGCTTCTCCCACCGCCCCGGCACACACGGCGGGCGGGACCCCCGGGGCGGCCCGAGGAGCCGCGGGACCGGCGGCCTCACCCCAGGCCTGGCCTCACCCCAG